GTTTTTAAAGCTTCTTGTCAGCATTACTGGGCTGACAGATGGCAATTCCAAGTTGGTGTGCTTTTAAGGGTTAGTAACAGCAGTAATGTACTGAAACTGTTGCTTAATGACTGAACTAATACAGTAACTGTTCACTAACTTTTGCAATCGATACCCTCCTCAAGTAGGGTACACAATTCCTGAAGTTATCACATGTGGGACAGAAATGGTGCCAGCTAGCTTCAACCTTCCTTACAGCTAATATGAAGCAATGGCACAGATCTAGAACTGCACTATGTTAATTTCTGATGTATTTGGCTTAAAATGACTACATAAAATATTGCTTGCTTAGTTGTAACATAAAAATAGGACTTCAGTTGCCAATGCAAGGCTTGACCCTGCATGCCAAAGCAGAATCTTTTATCTTAGGGTAAAAATCAATTACTGAAAGCTAGTGAGCTAGCTCTTGTTTTAAGCATCAGACCAAAAGCATACAGACACTGTCACCTATTTTTTTTATGCTCACTGCTAGAAGTCTTGAATTATTGCTAATAGTTGCAAATTACCTTCTAGTATGTGTGATATGATCTGTGATACGATCCTAGTTAATGAACTCCTAACCTAGTGTTTGGCAGTAATTAAATTTAGAGGGCTTTTAGGGTGAAGCTGAGATGCATTGCTTTGATAAAATAGTTCATCTTAGCCAGTGTTACTGCTAGTTGTGAAGAACTGTAACTTAAACGAACAGTTTGTAAAATACTGCTAGTTGTGAAGAACTGTAACTTAAACAGTTACAGTTTAAATTGTAAAATACTGAGGTAAGGGTATGTGAACTTTATCTCATTGACTGCTGGGACTGCTGTTTCCTAATATGTGATGCTATTTACCCACTGCCAAGGCTGAATCATTTCAATCCTCAAAGGTAAGTTGCGCAGTACTGCAAAATAAGGAACATTGTTATTACCTCATGTCAGTAACCTGATCGCTGACCAGAGCATAAAGACAGTGAAGGGCTCTACTTACACCGAAGTACCCTGTGCATACATGGCAACAGGCAAGTGATGCTAGCTCACTAACATACATAGTAGACACCACTCTCAACTCTTTGGTATTTAATGTCTTAGTATATTATGTCTTAAGTAATTCTTCCATATTTTGTAGTCTTACTTTTGAGTACAAAAAGTTCTTTGTGAGAAGCATGCAGGCTCCACCAACTGATCTCTGCTCCGCTGGAGGCCAGCTTGGGTCTTTGTGTGGGGTTGGGGTTTGTGTGTAGCTGAGCCTCATCCGTAGCATGCCTACGCCGAGGCTGGGATGGGACCTCTCCTTCCTTGGCGGCTGCCTGTGCCTTGCGCCGACTCCCGAAATAACCGTCTGGGGGCTCCGGAGGAATAAATCGAACTTTAGTTTGTTTTTTGTTTATTTTTTTT